TATATATATATATAAAAGTCAATGTATTCTTCCATTTTTTTCTAAGTTTTTTCTTTTCAAAGATAAATTTTGGGATTTAAGTCAAAATAAATTATTTTATATTTGAAGTGTTTGGTGTTTAAAAAATGTTTTCAGAAAACATGATTTTTCATAAACAACAAAGGAAAGAGAATATTTTCTAATTTTCTTTATATTTAAAGTATTTTCCATGATAAATGGAACAATTATATTTTTCAAAATTCATTTTATCCTTTGGTATATACAAAACGTGTATAGGATATACGTCTATAATACTGATCGATTTTTTTGAATTACTAAATAAAACATCTTAAAAGATTAAAATAAATTGCATTATATTATTTTTCCTTCTTTTCGTGTTGCTGAATTTGAGTTCTAAAGATTTTTTTATTTTTCCGGAAACATGAGATTTAAATGAAATAGATGAACCAAGAACATGAATGAAGAGAATAAAATACAAATAAAGAAGTGAGGTTGAGCGGTAGGTATAAGGTACCGTAAGCGTGTTTACACAAGGAACGGAGCTTTTCTATACATCCCTCAAATTGATCAATATATAATTGCTGAATTTAAAGATGCACAAAACAATACAAAGAAATGGAGCCACACGTGACTCAGAATATAGAAACTCAAAACTCATCAGAAAAAAGGTTAGTACACTTAGTACTCTTGTTCATATTGATATGTGATATGCATAAGAAATTTCAACTGAATAACATTAATAAGATGTGTTATGTGATTTAATGATCTTATTAAGGCTAGTAGACAAGGTGGCAGTGATAACTGGTGGTGCAAGAGGAATTGGTGCGGCTGCAGCTAAGCTGTTTGCTGAAAATGGGGCACATGTGGTAATTGCTGATGTGCTTGATGATCTAGGAGCCACGGTGGCTGAGTCCATAGGGGGTCGCTACATACACTGTGATGTGTCAAAGGAATGTGATGTTGAATCAGCCATTAGCCTTGCACTTTCATGGAAGGGCCATCTAGACATCATGGTCAACAATGCTGGAATTGCAGGCTCTGAAGGAAGGAGCATCACAACCCTTGACATGGACCAAGTGAGGCACTTATTTTCCATCAACCTTCATGGAACCATACATGGGATCAAACATGCTGCAAGGGCAATGATCAAGGGCCAAAAGGGAGGGTCCATCATATGCACATCAAGTGCTGCAGCCATCATGGGTGGCTTGGCCTTGCATGGCTACACCATGTCAAAGGCAGCAATGGATGGGTTGGTGAGAAGTGCTGCTTGTGAGTTGGGACAGCATTTGATTCGTGTTAACTGCATTTCCCCACATGGGGTTCCCTCTGAGATGCTTCTCAGTGCTTGTAGGAGGTTTGGGAATGTTGATATTACCCCTCAAAGATTGAAGGAAATTGTTGGGACAAGGGCTAGTTTACTCAAGGGGAGAGGTGCAACCATTGAAGATGTGGCTCAAGCTGCTTTGTTTTTGGCTAGTGATGAGTCTGGCTTCATAACAGCACACAATCTTCGTGTGGATGGGGGACATACTTCTGCTGATAGTAACATGAGTTACATCTACCAAGACCCAAAATGAAGAGAAAGTAACTATAAATAAAGATGAATGTTTGCAGCCCTCTCTCTAATACTTTCTCTGTTGTTGGATGACTTATCATTTAATGAGTATCTTTCTCGATTAAACAGTGAAACTCACCGAAATATATGATTTTCAATAAAATCTCGCTAGCTAATGATAGAGAATATTAGAGAGTGTCAGCTAACCTTCCTCGTCAATAAATCTAGTTGTCATTTGAGGAGGAAACACAAGAAAGTGAATTAGGCTCCTTGCATTGAGTTCGATACTCTTAACCTTACCAACTATAAAATACATTTATAGTTCTTTAATTTCTGTTCCAGAATAATGTATGCATGGTTTCTTCTTGATGCCTTGGCATGTCATGATATTCTGATCAATTATTTTGTATTGTTATTTAGTAACTCCATCAATCAAGGTTGGTGCGTACTGATTAGAAGAACATCTTAATTATTACATATAGATCTCCAATTTTCACATGTGGTACTGAAGACTACTTATTCCAAATTTTTCATGTGTTAGTCTTGTTATATACAAATGTGCACTTTCAAGTATACAAAGCTTCATGATTAAGTTAATCTTTCATGTGTTAGCCTTTGATCACCAATATTTATTTGACTCTCCCACACAATACATATACAATAAAGGGCCGAGGTGATTGAGTTAATCTTTCAAATTTCCACTATAGATCAAATTATGTCACAAGATCAAAATCGTGTACGCATAGATCACAATGAATGCTAAAACCTACCCAATTACTGCAATTAGATTGACTTTGGCTACGATGGTCCAAAATTTGCTTAAGAAAGAAAACAGTTTAAAAGATCGTGCTGGTCATAGTTTAGTAAACTGATAAATAGCGATTGATATTTTAGGAGGTCTTGGCTTTTGATCTTAGTTTGTTCTAGTATGACCGTGGGTCATTGCTAGCTCAAAGTGGTTCCATGACCTAGTTCTAGCCAAATCTACTCATCCATTAGTCTTGCTGTATGATAAAGGATTGAAATAAACACGTCTTTGATTTAGTTTAAGTTCAAAAAGTTTCAATCATGAATCATTATTGAAATGTAGAAAGTAATAAATTATTCTAAGATGAAATTCATTGAATAATGAATTGAGAGCTACATCATAGAGTTCTCCAGAAAAGGAGCACCACTCAAAACAAAAACCAAATTAGAGCATCTTTTTACATAATGCCCTAGCAAACAAGAAAAATTAACAAATCAAAAAGGAAAAACAAAAACTAAGTGAAACTGGCAGATGAGATCCATCCCACTTAATTAGTTCAATTTTTGTTCATGCCTGTTGCATTCTTCACAGCATCAGCAGCTCCTTGTGCTGTTGCCATCACTTGATGACCAGCCTACATACAACATGAATAAAAAAACATATAAACTCAAGTGGATCGAAAATATAATAAACCAAATTTTGATCTAGTATGGTCTATAAGACTATAACTAAACATGCATGATATTCACATGCATTTCACAGATTGTCACAATAACAAAGGATTCAATTTGATGAATTAAAAATTGGAACCTCTTGCACGGTTTCCTTAGCAGAATTAGCAGCATTGCTAGCCATGTCCATCAAGTTGTTAGCCTTTTCCTGTATTACATATATACAAAATAATATATGGTTTAATTAATTACATTATGTAAAATTGAGCATACCAAAAAGACTAAATTTGAGTAAAGAGGAAGAAAACCTGAGTTTGGCCCTGAACCTGGCCCTGAGCCTGTCCAGCCTGGTAGCTCATCTTCTGGGAGTCCATCTTTTGAAACTGTAATGAACTGAATGTAGTGATATGATCAAGAATGGTTCTAGTTTGAGAATTGAGATGATGATTAATTTCCCTTCACTCTTGATATTTATACGCATGTTTCATAGAGAATTGCATTGCTAGAACTTTTGGCCACCACATGTTCAAGGGGACACGTGGAATTACAACATTTACTGGTTATAATTTGAGGGGTTCTTGGGTGGTGCTATTTTTCAGGAGAGGCTTTAAATCGGTTGACTGGGATAACTGTGGAGAAGTCATTACTATTTTCAGAAGTTTGTTTCTGATTTGATGCATGGACAAATTCTTTCTTGTAAAAGTATATAGACAAATTCATTATAATCATTATAATGGGAGAAATTGTTGTGAACACACAATTTATTTATATTCACCTATCTCAATGATTCAAATAATGTGCTGTCCGGGTTCGCACGTGGTATTTTCTTTTCGCTTTTGGTGCATCTATGAACCTCTCATTATTAAGCCGTTCCTAATGATTATAATTACTAGATAACGTTTTTCTTTTGAAATCTACAATTCCTGTGTTAAGAAGAACATATATTATTTCACTATAATCTTTATTGTAAATTGAAATTTATCTTGGTCTTAAAATGAAGGGAGTCTTAAATAAAAAGGACGTAAACTATTAGGATAATATGCATTCACTTTTAATAAAACTAATATCACATTATACAACAAAACGGCTTAGGGATGGATCCAAAGAGGGTAAGAATAAAGAGGCCTCGTAATTTGTTTTCTTAAAAACTCGTAAAGTTTATAATTTGTAGAGAGGAAAGAAAGAGAACGAAAGAAAGCGTAAAAAAGAAGTGAAGAAAAACATATAAGAAATAGTGGGAATGTATAGGTTATTTGGTTAAAGAAAAATAATATAAGTTTCAAATTTTTAAGTTCATGAAAATAACTTATTTAAAAAAGTATTTACAAATTCTAGTTATTAATGTCTTAAATAACCAGCTTATTTCACAAAGATTTTTTTCCCACAAAAATAACTAAAAGTTAGAGAATTTTTTAAAAAGAGATTTTTAACATGGATTTTACAAAATAAAGTAAATAAAAAAATTATTCTCAAATTAAACCATATTAATTTCTAGTGATATTGATGGTAGAAAGAAAGCTTGATAAAGTAAATTTTGAGTTAACTAAAGGAATAGTCGAATTATTGTTGTTTTGGAAACTCATTGGTTACATTATATTTTTCTTTTTGTCTACGGACATTATACTGGGGGAGATCCAATTGAACAAAAAAAATATTTGAATTAACTAAAGGAATAGTCGAAATATAGAATACAATCGAGACCTGTATCAATGAAATAATTTATTAACTTAAAATCAAGAATATAGCCAAGGTTTATATCCAAAAATGAAGATAAATCTGAGGAGTTTTTAGGGACTTGAAATCAAACTTTATGGTTTAGAAGGATAATGCACTGAAACGGTAGTGTCAAAAGGTTAGGCCCATTAAAATAGTCCGATAAAGTTAATTAAATAATATAACACTCGATAATGTGGTAAATAAACACGATTAATTTGCATTTAATATAGGATTAATATTTTAACCGTCATACTATACTTGAATGATGAAGTATCTTTTTTGCAAATGTATTTCCTATCTATTTAGTATTGGAAAGAAGAAAATTCTTCAACATGAAATATGGAATATAATAGGGAAAATTATGATAATATCCTCATATAGATATAGATATTTTGCAAAATATTAAAAAAAAATAGTATTAAGATAAGATTATATATATATATATATATATA